AAGAATTAAGCTAGAATTAAATAAAATTTTCTCTTAGTTTATACAAATTACTAGTACATTTAAATAAGTGTGAGAGTAAATTGTGTGCTAAGCTTCATTTTAGCATATAAGCATATTTTATAATAGTTCATGATTATTCTATAATATAATTCATATTTCAAAACTTGCTTCAAACTTCAACATTACTTTTACAGCACTTTGAAAATACATTCGTATAAGAATCACAAATTTGCAAAATATGACAAGGCTATGTTAGTCATGCATGAAAATTTATCTATTGGTAGATACCTAATACTTATTCATCTGTCACTTTTCTCTATTTTGATTTTACTGGATCATCAAATTTATAATGGGCCATATAATGATAACAATGGAAACACGGATGGGCACACATTCTGACCTTAAACACAGAACATCCAAAAGTTGTGTGTCAAATTTAAAAGGTGAATGGTCTTACTTGCGATTAAAATGTAAATCTGGGTTTGCAACAGGGCCAGTTGACGGATGACCTTGATGCGACGTGTCAATCCAATCAATCCATCAATAACTTTGACAAAAAAATCTTTCTGGCAAAGTTTAGAACTAATATTAATCTTATTATGCAAAAGAAATGCCTGGATCGAGTATCTTTCCAAGTCACTGTCAAAATATTTCCCTTCATTCGCTTTAAACTTTCCCAACTTCAACTTCTTAACTTTTTCACATTTTGGTTTCATATCACTCGGTAACCCTTTCCGATTAGAATTAACTGTTCCACAAGATAAAGTTCTACTGGATTCCAAAACTTCCATTAATTCAATGCTGATATATAATTATCCATGAATAAAATATGTCCTTTATGTAAATAAGGCTCAGCAATATCTAAAAGTCTGTGTGGTTTTAGAAAAATTGTCTCATCACGCTTTCCAGTGTATGTAATAATATTCAAAACATATCCAGTGTTAGATTCTGCAAGTATGAACAGTTTTAGTCCCCATTTCACAGGTTTTATGTTGATGTACTGCTTCATTTTCAAACGACCTTTGAACTTCAGCATTGTTTCATCGACAGCCAATTCTCGTGATGGTTGATAAATTTCTGGAGGGTTTACCAAATACTGTAATATGTGTTCAACTTTCCAAAGTTTATCACTTTTGTCAACGGTGTTGAAGGTAAGCTAAAATCTGTAAAAAATGTCTTCTGAACAATTCCGGATGCCAAAACAAGGCCAATCCATGCCTTGAACTTTCTTATTAATAATCGGAATTTCGTGAAACTTGGTATGTATGTGTATAATCATATTCTAAATTTGCTTGAAATATTGAATTTTTGTTGTGTGCATGCCCATTACCAACTTTCTTATTTCCTATTTAAATTTAATCAAACTTGGTATGTATGTGTATAATGACATTCTGAACTTTATGGAAATACTAAATTTTGGTGTGCGCATGCGAATTACCAATTTTTTTTATTTCTTATCCAAATTTCACCAAACTTGGTATGTATGTGTATATTTAAAGTCTCAAATTGATGAAAATATTTAATTTGTGTTATGCTCATGCACAATACCAGCTTCCTTATTTATTACCATAATTTCATAAAATTTTGTATGAATCGCATTACCCAATTTCTTATCCAAATTTCTGTCCATTTTCGTATGTACATTAATGTTGTAACACACCCTGCATCAGTACTGTTAAGGAAACAGTTCTAGTTGTTTTATCATGGGACTTTGCTACCGCAGTTTGTTATCGAAATTTACACACCTTCCTGAGCCTGGACTGTAGTAGCTACAGCAACTATTAACTTTCCTAGACCTTCTGTAGTGGGGACGTGTTGCATAAATATATTTTGGAACATCTTCGCAAATCCGAAAGTGCCACAGTTCAACATGTGCAAAAAGTCGAAAATCGGCTCTAGAAGGTGCATATTTGCGTCGATTTTCTGCGTATTTTCATTTTTAGAATGTGTCTGTAATTTCTGATCTGATAGCACTTGCAGAATTACGAACTTCGAAAATTTGTCGCTCACTTTTTTCGATTAAATTTTGCAATTTTTTTGCAACTTTTATACTTTTGCATCAATTGATCTGATATTTAAAATGCAAAGAGACATCACTAAAGTAAATAATATGGTACAGTCAAATATTTAACTTTATTTCCGGGTTTAAACAGGGAATCAATTGAAAGTACAATCTACTTCTGGTCAAATAACTTCTGGTGTAATTGAAATAGGTCAACGGAATTTATGCTAATCGTAAGTAAATGCTATTACAAAAAAACGGAGAAAAAAAAATCCAGATCGGAAGTGATACTTCGGCCTTTGTGTTAACAGCTCAGTTGTTTCAGCTTTATAGTTCCAAAAAAGGAACGGGTTTTAACATTTGGATATTTGCATTTTTCGATTTTGACCTTTGTTGACTTCTGTTAACCTATATCTTTTGACCTGTATGATGTAGAAGATTGAAATTTGGAACATAACATCATATTTTGAATATCAATAACCTATGCAAAAGAAATTGAGGTGGGCGTGGCACATGCGGGTTAAATTACTCATTATTGACATTTTGGCAAGGGACATAACTCGTAACTAAGTATACATTTGCATACAATTACCTCATGCTTTGAGCCACTTTGTCTTAGAAGTTGTTGTTGTTTTCGCTTCATACTTTAAAAAAGGGAACAGGTTTTGCAAATTCAAAATTTTCAATTTTTGACCTTGACCTTTGTTGACCTTGACCTTTGAAGGATTAAACGTCATTGGCATTGGCTATCTATTTATACTTTTACATTTTCTGTCCTATGTCTACTTCCGGGTTTTATAGCCGTGTGCAATTTGAAACTTTGATGACTTATATCTCTTGATCTTGAACTTTTTAGACCTTCTCCTTTACAAGATCAAAGGTCATTGGCCTTGGCTATCTGCTTATCCTTTCAGTTGTGAGGTCTGTCATCTACTTCCAGTATTAGAATCTTTTAAATAATGAAAATTTCTCAACTTTACACTTTGAACTGTTGCACTTGAACTAATTGTTGTTGAAGGTTGATTTTTTCATTGCTATATTTGCCACGTGTGGCTCTAGTTTTATTTGAAATAACTATTTAAGTCAAATAATTCAATCGATAATCCATGGTATGCAGAAAGATGACATAAAAACACTTAGTAAAAAACAATGAAACAATCCTGATGACATTTATTAATACAAGAAAACCAGCAGGACAAAAAGTTATGAAAAATATTTGTGTTTAATATTAAGAAATGTCTGGTGAAAAGTCAAAAACTGATTGGAATAAAATATTCAAAAGAAATAAAGAATATATCAAAACTAGAAATCAAATGAAATTTAAAATTGAAAATGGGATTGGATGAAAACTTTATTTAGTCCAATTTTGCGCAACTAATTATTTTTTCTAGAGATATCAAAATCAAGCCAATCAGATTTAACCCTGAGGCTCCATTTTCCATCAATATGCAGGTTGATCTGTTTCTTCTGTGTTGGATTTTTTTTATTCTAATATGTCTAAATGAACAATTCTAGCTAATTGCAAAAAGAAATTTTCAATTATCTTCAAAATTCTGGAATTAAAAATTTCAATTTTACAAGCAAATAACATCAAAACCAGAAGTGATATCGAAAATTAATTTTAGTTTGCTATCATATATATATACCATATAGAACCAAATTTTATTTTAACAATTGCAACAGAAGTGACTCAACATCGCAAGAACCTCGAAACTCTGGTGATACAGTACATTTTTATACGCCCACATGAATATGTGGTCGTATATTGTCGTTGCCCCTCTCCGTCGGTCCATCCGTCAACATTTCTTGTGAGCATTATAGAGACTACAGTTTTTAAATGATTTTGATAAAACTTGGTGTGATGCTTTAGATTGATAAGACCTCGTCAAGTTCGAATCATATTTTCGATGAATGGTTTTTGAGATATTGCCCTTGACTTAGAACGCCTTGAAATTTGTTAAAAATTGTTCGTGAGCAGGATTGAAGCTACAGTTTTCATCTGATTCTGATGAAACTTGGTGTGATCATTGGAATTGATAAGATCTCGGACAAGTTCTAACTTGACGCATTTTCAATGAACGGTTTTTTAGTTATTGCCCTTGACTTTGTTAAAACGCGTGGAAATTTGTTAAAAATAGTTTGTGAGCAGGATTGAAGCTACAGTTTTCATCCGATTCTGATGAAACTTGGCATAATCATTGGAATTGATAAGATATCGGACAAGTTCTAACTTGAGGCATTTGCGATGAATGGTTTTTGAGTTATTGCCCTTGACTTTGTTAAAACGCTTCGAAATTTGTTAAAAATAGTTCGTGAGCAGGATTGAAGCTACAGTTTTCAACTGATTCTGATGAAACTTGGTGTGATCATTGAAATTGATAAGATCTCGGACAAGTTTTAACTGGTTTTTGAGTTACTGCCCTTGACTTTGTTAAAAGTTTGTTCGTGAACACAATAGAAGCTACAGTTTTCAACCAAATTTGATCAAACTTGTTATGATCATTGGAATTGATAAGATCTCGGACATGTTCTAACTTAAGGCATTTTCAATGAACGCTTTCGGAGTTATTGCCATTGACTTTGTAAAACGCTTCAAAATTAGTTTGTGAGCACAATAGAAGCTACAGTTTTCAACCGATTTTGATGAAAATCAGTGTGACCAATGGAATTAATAAGATCTCGGACAAGTTCTAACTTGAGATATTTTTGATGAACTTTTTTCGAGTTATTGCCCTTGACTTTGTAGACATGCGTCAAAAGTTGTTTTTTGCCCTTGATTAGAGCTGTGTGATTTAATTGTTTATTTTATTTGGGTTATTCATATTGATTTTAAAAAATTTTGTGGAATTACTCAGCATAAATAACTAGCATATATATGTGTAATTGAATTCAAACTAATAAAATTTTTTCAATATGAGAAAATTCGTACCTTAGGCACTAAAGACTGTTTATCATTTCTGACAGCTGCCAGTGGGCGTATGTTACCTTGCCTCGCAAGCTATCTTATTATCTGACGCAATTCTTTCTCGGAAAACGTTTCATACCTAAAATTGCCTGTGGCACATTTCACGCATCTTTTTTGTCTAATATCAGGTGCTACTGTATTCCTCAAATAAAAAATTTCTTTCAATAACTCTCTCTGATCCAATCTTTCCAGAAGTGGTATAGTTGAAGATGTTACTGGCCCACCGTGTCTTTTGCAAGTTTCAAGAGCCTGAAGCATTTTGATATTCTTTTTTAATTTCAATTCTTCTTTCTTCTTTAATGCCATATCCTTGCTTGCTCTTACAGTAGATAGAAACTCCTCCAGCTGTTTTACCTTCTGGACAGTTTCTGATCCCCAATTCCATCTAATTTTCTTGTCTTTATCTGCTAGATCAACAAATTGAGAATTACACAAAAGACCATTGGAAGAAACAATATTCATTCTAGAATGAGTGGTTATTGTTGTCATTCCACCAGCAAATCTGATTCTGTTATCTAATTTCCCAAGTTGTGATTCACATCCAAGATTAGTTAATGGTGCATATTTTAATTTGTCCAGGTCTAAAATCAACAGTAATTCATTTGCTTCTGCTTCTGGTTTGAAAAAGTCCATTTCATACAACTGGCGCTGCTGCATTTCAATTATTTCATTTATCACGGCTCCAATCAATCTACCTTTTCCAGTTTCTGCTCTGGAGAGATTCTTCTGATGCAACTCCAGACTTTGTAATTGGCTTTGAAAGAAAACTCGAACTTGCTCCCAACTTCGTCTTCGGGCATAATCCTTCCAATTAAATCCATTAAGGGAAATATTAACAAGTCACCAATTGCAGAATATACTTCAGTACAGCATTTAAACCAGGTGTTATACCGTATAAATCATTTGTGGTGACTTTATACGAAGCTAGGCAATGGACCATACACCTCATCAGCTGTTCATTCATGCACCTGTAACACCTGTAATCCTTACTTGAGGGAACATAGCAGGATCATTCTTCAATAACTTAACTTAAATCATTGTCTTCAATGTCATCAATATCACCCATTGCTTTTTCAATCTCCACTCTGTTCAGATCAGCTTGTAGAAAAGTATTAGTAGTATATGTCTTTTCGGATATGACGCATTTCACTTCTGCGCATGCGCAGCTTTTTCAATGCGTCATATCCGAAAAGACACAACTGCTAAAATGTATTATAACAGACTCCCCAAAACTGTTAAAATGTATTATAACAGACTTCCCAAACTGTTAAAAATGTATTATAACAGACTCCCCAAACTGTATTATAACAGACTCCATATAAATTACCCAAAACCACAGACAAGAATCACTAATAATAATACAGTATAATATTACCGCATTAAAAATGTCTTTAATTTTAAAACACGAACAAAAAAAATTCGAAGGAGACGGTTTCTTCTCTGCGCTAACATCTCTCATCCCCAAAGTGGCCAATTTTGTCTCAAACAACAAATTTCCTCCTTGTATTAAATCTTTCGTATTAAAAATATATGTTGAACAAATATGTCTTTAATAAATGTCCATCCTCCTAAAACGTATTTCGGTGTGGGAGACATTCAAAATTCATTGGGTTCTCTTCCTGGATTCCCATGGGCAAAATATCCCGGAGAAAAACATCTCCCAGGGCACAATTATACAGGTCCAGGCACTAGGTTAGATCTGCGTTTAGACGAAAATGATATTCCCAAACCAGGGGAAGAACCCGTTAATAGAGTTGACGCAGCAGCGCTCAAACACGACATACTGTACAGAAATAAAGACGTAACATTCAGACACCAAGCAGACAAACAAATGATAGACGAACTCGAAAATATTCCCAATCCCACTTTCAAAGAGAAATTACAGAGGGCTCTTATCATAAAACTCATGAAGGCAAAATTGAAATTGGGTATGGGCATTGCAGACGAGATTCACAAAGAATTTCGAAAAAACAAACATTACCTCAAAGTCAAAGTTTTTGATAAAGATGAAATTTGGTCAGCCGATTTAATCAACATGCCAGTCGAGAGAGGGTATAAGTATTGTTTGACGGTGATCGACATATACACGAGATACGCTTGGGTCTTTCCCTTGAAGAACAAATCGGGTCTGACTGTCAAACAAGCATTCGAAACCATAATGAAACAATCCGACAGACGACCTCTAAAGTTGTCGGTTGATAAAGGAAGCGAATTCTACAACAGAAATGTGAAATCTCTGGGGTTTGAAATTTATAGCACGCATAACGAAGGTAAAGCCGTAGTGATAGAAAGATTCAACAGAACTCTTAAAAGCAAATTATTCAAGAAATTCACGGAATTGAAATCTCAAAAATGGCTTAAAATATTACCAGTTGTTGTCGACGAATACAATAACAAAATACATTCGTCTATAGGTGTGACGCCATCCCAATCCTCTAATAACCCGAATATCATAAAGTCCGTCAACACTCGAAACAACTTTGAAAACGAGATTAGCAATTTGAATATTAAACCCAAATTCAAAGTTGGAGATCGAGTTCGTATTTTTAAATATAAATCATTGTTTCAGAAAGGTTACGTCTGCTATTGGACTAACGAGATATTCATCATTGATAAAGTAAACATCACATCACCTCCCACGTATGAATTGATCGATCAACACAAAGAACAAATCATAGGAAGGTTTTATCAAAATGAACTTCAAAAAACTGACTTTTAAAAATGAATCTCGAAAATGAAGATTTAGATGAAAGGTTAAGAAATTTAGATGTCGACAAGCATTTACGCTCTCTTAAATTAAGATTTTTTAAATTTAAATGTAAATTTATCTTCAAAATATTATTGAATGTGTTTTATCAGAATGTTATACAAGTTTTTTCAAACACAAACTACGTATATATTTCGTCAATTGGGTCTTCAGCAATACTTTCTGCCTACTTCGAAAAACACCTAAAAAAAATCAACTTAAAAAATGAACGCATTTCTCGATAAATACGGAAAAGACACAACCACAAATTTTCAACTTGTGAAATGGGCCAAGGAGTTGAACGTCTCGCCGTTTTATTATTGCATGCGAGATGAAATTGATGAACTGAAATACAAGAAAGGTAAATTTTACGCCATCACAAACATTCGCACGTCGGATCAAAAAGGAGTTCATCACTCTGCTCTACACAAAGATTCTTCGAATAACTTTTATTTCTTTGATTCTTTCGGTCTAGAACCGACAGAAGAGATAACGAAATTGACTAGCAAACCAATCAAATGTTCTACGTTTCAAATTCAAATGCCAGGACAAAAGCTGTGTGGACAGCTGTCGCTTTGGGTTTTATATCGGTTGAGTTTGGGAGAAAAGTTTGAAGAAATTATAATAAATTTTAACTCAATAAAAATGGCAAACAAGTTTGGATTAGGGTCTTTACCTCTAGAATCTAAAAATCCCATGAGTTCTACGGCGTATATAAACAAAGCGAAACCATTTTTCGTGGATCAAATCGGAGACACCTTACAAGGGGATATCGATATGAACAATTTCAAAATAACTAATTTAAAGTTTCCAGGAAACGATAACGATGCCGTGAACAAGAAATATTTACTGGATCAAATAAACGCAATTCAAATAGATAAGAACCATGTTGAAAATAGAATAACTGACGTGAAAAATTCATCAGACGCAATATTAAAAATCTTGTGGACGAACCCAAACTACAACAAGAGTTAACGAGTTTGAAACGTCTTATTCAAGTGGATAAAACAAGTCAGTTGCAAAATTTAATATCTAAATTAGACGAAAAGATTACGAAGGTAAAAATAGACGTCCAACGTTTAATAGACAACCCAAATGTAAACGAGGATAGATTGAAACGAAAACTAACCGTTTTGGAAAGAAAACTTGGCGAATTGCTAGCAGAACTAGACAAGACCGCGGACAAAACCGAATTTGATATCCAATTTGAACGAAAAGATCGCGAAGCAAAAATCAGATGTTCAAGATATAATTAACACACTTCCCACTGACAAAGATACGTTGAAACAACAATTGACTGCTTTGGATACTAAAATCACGGACGAATTAGAAAAAGAAGTGGGTGTGATTAAAAACTTTCTTCAAAATAAATTTCGAGATGATATGAAAAATTATATTAAAGAACAGGTCAATCTTTTGGTATCTAGAATTCATGACGATTTTTTGACACAAGAGAAAAAGTTGAGCAAATTAGAAGCTATTGTCACGGACAAATCGTATTATTTCAATCTTCCATTCGAAAGTGACACTGTCTTCGATAGAAAAGACCAAATTTATAAATCAAACAAATACGGATTCAAAGCAGAAATAAAAGTAGGTACTCTCGTATACGGAGAACCTAAAAACGTATTCGATATTGGCGAAAAGCAAGAGTTTACTTTTCGAGGTAATTGTCTGATTCAAATAGAGTTTCCCATGAAGGTTAAAGTCAAAAAAGTAGTCTTCAAACAAGGCGGTAGGGCCGTCAAACATATTTCATTATTCAATGATGGTAATTTGGAAGAGAATATACGTTTGATTGATATAAGGAATCAGGAAATTGAAACGAAAAATGGAAGTAGAAAATAAAGATATAAATAGATTTAGAATCAAAGATTTAGATATGATATTGGAGACGGAAAATCCACCATCAACCAACATTGTCCAAGTTCCACGACGCTCACAAGTACCCGGAAAAATAGAATCGAGCAGTCACGAGTTTTTACGAACAACAGACTTTGAATACGTAAAACTGTATTTTGTTTATGATCGATGTTCATAAAAGTCAACAAGAAAGAGAGTTTATAGTGCATTTATCGTTTGCCGAAGGTTCCGACTCCATCCTTAATGCGGGTGGTTATATTTTTAGAGCCAAGATAAACATCGAAAAAGAAAAAATAAAATATTCCTATCATCTTAAAGAGGACCATACGAAAAAAGAAATGTCGTTAGTACGCGTAAATGTTTTTACTTTTAATACCCGAAAATTTAATGATAATGCTAGGTCAAACAACAATGTTCTATACGATATTCCGTGGTTCCATTTATCGGAAATTCACTTAATTTAACGACTTAAAAAATGGAACTCGAAAGCAGACAACAATATATGATAGACAAACAAGAAGAGTTGAAAATAAAGTTGAGACAGTACAATTCATGCAGGAAAACATGGAGTAGAATCGATTCTGTTTTCAAAACAGCGAGCACAGTTCTAACGGTAGGAGTAATGGTGGCAACGGCCGTGACTGGTGGATTAATGCTTCCGGTCATCGTCCCAACCGTATTGGCTGCATTAACAGCCATTCAAACGACTTCTTGCGGTCTCATCACTTTAGGTTTCACGAGCAAAAAGAAAGCTCATTATAAAAAGAAAACGGATATCTTGAATATGTATCTTAATCAATTGTACATCTTTTTCGAAAGATCGAGAGAAGACAAGAACATAACAGTTGAAGAATTACAAGAATTCAATGAAATTTTGGACAAATTCCATACAGAAATATCAGCGGTCAAAATAAAGTAATAATCAAAAATATATACTTAAAAAAATATGAATAAAATCGAACTTGCAGACGATGAAACATTGATAGAAAACGCCCTATTTTCCGATGTTATCAAGGCTATCTCTGATAAACTTAAAACATTCACAGGACAAATTAAAATAGATGGAGAGATAGTCGAGGAAGGGAATCACAGACAATACATGTCACTCCTCGGTTTCAATGCCAAAACTTTTCACAATATCTTTTCAAATATGGACAAAAAATCTGATGCTTCCGATTGGTATTTTACAGGAAAAATAATTTTAATGAAAGACAATTTCCAAGAAATAAAAAGATCGAGAGTTGGCAGAGGAGGAACTGATCTGCTTAAAAAGATTAATGAATACGAAGGCGAAAATTGTTTCATACCTACAGATGGTCATTGTTTTATCAAATGCGTCAATCGTGTTTTGAACAAAGATTTAACGTGTAAATTTCAAGAATACATCAACGGGTTTTCAAAAGCAAATAGAAAAGGAGTGATGACTTGTGCTAGAATGAAGGAATTCAACAAGAAATTTAACACTTCGTTTCAAATTTATAATCCCAAAAGCAGACATTTTCACCCCAGAGACGTTCACGATGAATTAGATTGGGTTTTGTACTTACACAACTCGCATTTCTGTTTGATTAGAAGAAGCCAAAAAAGTTTGGGAATTCAAGAAATAGAAGACAATTACGAACAGGTGTGGAAAACGTGTAGAGACGACAACGCAGTAACACAGGTTTTACCCCTCAAACTAAACGTGCTTTCAAGTATGAGTGATGATGCGTTATTCGCTTGGGGTTGCGAAACGTATTCAGAAAAAAACAGTCGAAGAGCAATTCCTAATGCCTGCACTTTAATTTAGAAAAACTAAGAAAAAAGTTAGAAACGATAAAAAATATCTTTCCAAGTATAAATCCTACTGATAATGTTCCAAAAGAATTTTATGATAAACTAATGAATGTAGTAGAACTATTTGTAGGTACAGATTGTATAGATCAAATGTTGAAATATTTAGGTCAATATGATAGAAAGAGATTAATATTAATTTCTCATAACGGCAGTGGATTCGACAACTGGATCGTGCTTAAAAATGCAAAAAAACTAACGCATTGCCCTTTAAAAACACCCAGAGGAATTCTATCTTTTCCTTTATCTAATCCATACACGGATGAAGATTTACAGAAAAAATGGAAAAGACAGAAAGAAATAAAGGGTAATCATTTACAACATATTAATTTCACGTGTTCCTATCAACACGAATCCTCTAGTTTGGCTGCATGGGGAAATTCTTCCAATCTTCCCGCGAATTTGAGAAAGATTGCCGACGTATATATCGCTAAATACACACAAGACAACTGGGAGGAATTGAGACACGAATGGGAACCTTACGACAAGAGAGACACTCTCTGTTTGGGAGCTTGTTTGATAAAATACAACCAAGTTACAAAAGAAGTTGTAAACCAGAATATGTCCAATAATCTAACGGCTCCATCTTTATCTTTAAAGGGTTGGTATTATTTATATCATTACGATATAGAAATGGTGGAAGAAGAATGGTATGAAACTACTAGAATGGTTGCGAAACATACCGAAAAAGAAAATATAGAAAAAGTTTATTCGCACACTAATCCTTTTATAAGAAATTTTATCAGACGATCTATTAAAGGAGGAAGAGTTTCGGCAAATAGAAAATCATTTGAAACGAACAAAATGGATGAAATTTGTAATGTATTAAAGGAATATATTTCACAAACAGAAAGTAATAACATAATTGATTTATTCAAAGAATACAGCCCAAGCACAAAAGACAAATCGGCGGTTCATTCGAGACTTAAAAAAATAGAATGTACTAAACTAATGGCATTTGATGCTAACGGTTTATACGCTTCCGCCATGTCGGATTTAGACAGTGAATATCCGAGAGCGGAAAGTGGAAGAGCGTTTCTACCAGAAGAAGAAAAAGAATTTGTAAAACTCTTCAATAAACAAAAATTCAGACCTAGAACAGCTATTTTAACAGTGTGGTTTGACTATCCCAAAAACATGTTCTTCCAACTGATACGAGCTAAAGATAAAATCACTTTCACAATAAAGAAGGTAAAAAGGAAACTGGTAACAAAATCAGGTTCAGAAATGGTTTCTGTCACAACGTTTTAACATCGGTCGATATTCAAGAAATAGTGAAAGCCGGTGGACGAATTATTAGAATGTTAGATGGTATAGTTTACGAAGAAAATTTTAAAACTCCACCCTATAGAGATTATATTTTAATTTTGAGAGATTTAAGAAATAAATATAAACGAGAAGGTAATATCGTGGGTAGTAATTGCATGAAATTATTAGGTAATTCCTTGTATGGTAAATCAATTCAGAAAGATATATTCACAACTAGACATTTATGGAATGAAGCAACTTTACAGGCCAACTTTGATTCACGCGTTAAAACCTATGAGAAAATTAATGATACTCAATATATTGTTGAAACAGAAATTGAAGAAAAAGAGATTACTACCGAAGACAGTAAATCTACACGACTAACACCTAGTCATTTGGGATCATTCGTTTTATCTCACAGTAAAAAAATAATGAACAATTTCATTCACGTCATAAATGGATTTTATAAACCCGAAATATACTATACCAACACCGATAGTTTGTACATTTCATCCAAAAATTGGAAAAAACTAAACAGAGCTGGTTTAGTCTCCGAAAAAGACTATTGCAAAGGTAAAAACGATTACGGTGACGGTGGAATTATATTTGGTTTATATTTAGCACCAAAAGTCAAATACAACATCGTTTTGACTTCTGATGGTGTTTTAAAAGAAAAGAAAACGTTTAAAGGTTATTCTAATGATAAGGTAAGTGTGGAAGATTATGTTCAGTTAGCAAGCGGACATGATGTGTCGAACGAATTTAATAAACCATGGGAAAAAAATTTCACCAATGGAGTAGTTATTCCAAATGATAAACAAACTAAAGTTTTTAGAAGTTATTTGAATAATGTTAAAAGAAAACCACCAAACAGTGAAGGAATTATGTATCCTTACAACGACAAAGATGAGTATAGTTTTGACGAAAACTATAAATTTGATGATTTTGATTATCTTTCTAATCAAGAAGAGAATGAAGATTGTTTTAAATGAAGTTGAATGACAATTTCTTCGTTGCCAAAGTCTATGAACCTGTTTTTACCGTCTTTGATTTCCAGATTTATATCTTTGATCATGAAAGAATTGACTGGTAAATAGGTCGTTTGAAACGGTTTCTCTATAATTCTGTATCCGATCGGTATGCTGTATATGATTTGACGTTTGTGCTTGTTGAAAAATCCACCGTTGATCAAATTACAGTGAATGTTGATCACGTCGATGTCGTTCTCGATGTTGGCCTTGTGCGGCGCCAATGTCGATTGCGCGTATATTCGTTTATCGAACCCTAGTAACGCATTCAACGAATTTTCTATGTTGAAATCGACTTGACTCTTATTTCTCAAGATCAGTTTTATTTTGTTCAGATTCAAATACCTTCGAATTCGATATTGTTTTTGCCGTTCTCGCTTCCTGCGTATTCGGATAGGTATTCTTTGATGGCTACGTATTCGTAGCTCCCCGGTAGTAAGCTTATGGTTTCGAACGTAACTCCGTTATCCGTCGATATTTTTAGTTGATTGTTTTTTTCGCTGATGTTTCTAATGGAATTGTAAACGGAGAAATACTTTAATCCCAGTTCGTACTGTTTATTGCGATCGAGTTCATACTCGTTGTCTAGAGACAATTTGATGTCTGGTTTATTCGAGGTGATAACGAACAATTGTTCTTTATTGGACATTTTTAATGACGTTTATATAGTCTTTTTTAGAGATGATTTCTTTCTCCAGAAGTCGTTTTAATATGCCATTGACTTCGTTGTATTGTCTGTCCGATCGATGACCTTCTTTCATGGCCGCTAATATTATTTCTAATCTATTAAGCAATTCTTTATTGTCGTCGGATAAAAACGTTATACCTTGTCCAGATGCCACCATATCATCGAATTCGGGTCCCGACTTTCTTATTGCATCTAGAAATTTTGAGTATGCTACTAAATCCTTATAATCGGCAATTTCAACGTCCTCGCCATTCATTAAATCTATTAACCCTCTCGTTAATGTGTATATGTAATCTTTTGTATCAATTATAAATTCGGGGGTATTTGTCCTAAATCTTATTCTAAAACCATTGAACAACAAACCCGCTTCATCAATGATTGGTGAAATGCTTTTTGGTAATTCTGGGCTAGGGTTTGAAAAAAGACGTTTTACATCATCTACTGTCCTAATTATAACACCACTATATTCAATCGCTTTGGGGTGATGAGGTGTGGGTTCTATACGAGGCGTGGGTTCTATAGCGAGTCTCTTTTTAATATCTTCTTGACTTTTTAATATGGGTTGAAATAGAGTTTGTAGATTTTCCGTTAATCCGAGTTGTTGTAATCTGTTATTTTCAACTTGGGTCTTTATTTTATTCTTAGCTTTGATATATTCTCTATTTCTTTTTAAAAAATTATTCCAATCCGTCATTTTTAAAAAAATAAAATTAACATATATCGATCATAACTCTTTCTCCCGCAGGTTTTCTAGTATTTACAAATACATATCCATAATCATCTGGGTTTCTCCATTGAGCTTTACAAACCTTTTTAAATGTATCTCTATCCATTCTGTGATTTATAGACTGAATGATTTGAGATAAATCTTTATCGTTTAATTCAAATAATAAAAAACAATTTGCATTTTTTCTAATGAACATAGAATCCATCCCGTAAAAAGATTGGGATTGGTATATGCAGTGACAGTTGTGATGTCTTCCTTTGGTGAAGAATTCTTGTTGAACAGTTTGATTTCTTTGCGCTACGCAGTCGTCAAACAATATTAAGTTCTTTCGATTGCTATCAATATTAGACAAGTCTAGATCATTAACATTTTTCGTAAGAAAAACTTTTATATCCGTTGGATTGAAAGATGGATTCTTTGATTTAATGAAGTTTTCTATGATATCTTTTATTTCCACTTCTTCTTCGTTTTCTTCGTAATATTGAAATATGTCTTGAACGTCTTTCTTTGGTAAATATTCCAAAGCTTTGAGGAATTTATAATACGATTGCTCTGGTGTTGTTGTGTAGATATACAGAGAATCGAAATCTAAAAGGTTTGGTGTTGTCAACATGTTAAAAGTGAGATGAGTTTTCCCAGAACCTGAACTACCGCAAATGCACATGAGCATTGGGTTACTAGGAAATATGTCCGAATGTTTGAATTTCTTGCCCATTTTTATTTATTACATTTTCGTACCAAAAATCACCCCGTTGCCTTTATACTTTGAAAGGAAGATTCCCTCGCCCGAATGTATGTTTTTAAAAAATATGGCGTTGCCCTTGTGTTTGACCTTCATTTCTCCAGTGTAGATTTTATCTATTAATTTGCTTAATCCCTCTTTAACGGTTTTCTTGGTTTCTTCGCCAAATCTTTGTCCGAATTCTTTAACCGTCCCTAATATATCTCCTACTCCCGAACCTCCTCGTGCTTCTCTTTCCATTGCCAAATTGTGTCTTCGCGCTTCGGCGTTTGCAGCGGCTTCAGCTTTCTTATCGTTGACAGCTTTGGCTATCCCAGCAGCTCCATCAGCAGTTGTACCGGCTGCAGCTAAACCAGCAAAGATTAAAGGTAAGAAAGGTAAAAATCCACCTTTTTTAGTTAAATTCTCATCAATTCTTTCCAAGTCTATATCATCTCTGACTTTGCAATGTTTGTATTCATCGATAATCTTTTGGGTTATATGCACTTTTTTACCGTTGTAAGTTATTAGAGTCGGCGAATTCGTTTCCATAGCTTCTATTATTTTCATAACTAAAGTTTCTGGTTTCATTTCTAAAGGGTGTTTTTTTATTCAATTCTTATCATTCTTCTATCTGATATTTTAATCAAATGTTTTGCTTCTTCCAACAATAGCCGGTCACATCTCCTTGTGTTTTATCGATGTGAATATTTATGTTTACCCCTGTTTTGAAAAGATCTTCTTGATGAGCTGACAGATCGAAACAAAAGATTGGACGATTGAGTGAAAAATCTGTGTATTCAAACTGAGGCGTATTTCCAAACAATTCGCACATGTTTTTATAGTTTCTGTACAATTTGTTGTAATTTTTTTTGGAAGGATCAATTGTCAAAGGTTGATTGGGGTAATTATCGTTGTTCAATCTGACTTGAACTTTGCGAATGATGGGATCTTGAGTATGGTTCAATGCCACTCTGAAAATGTTGTTTTTGTTTGTCTGAGAGTCTGGCAAGTTTTTGAAACCGACCATTAGATATCTCGCTGGTGTGACGGTGTTGGTGATTGGCCACGTGGTGGATTCTCCCGTTAAAGTCGTGCTACCTACCGTGTTACGACGAAGAAAAGCAATTTCTATGTCTTTGGTTAAAGAGTTGAATATTCTCGTTTCCACTTCTACGGAAGGAGTGATTACCGGTATGTAAAGTTGGATATTCGTTATTTCCAATTTTGCGTCAGAGTTGTTTTCACCAAAGAATATCTTGTTGTCGTTGATTTCTCTTTGCAAATGAATTTTATACGGTAAACCTATGGAGACCTTTCTGTGTTCCAAGAGACCAAATAAAGGATACAACTTCCAATTAACGTAATTACCCCATCTGTTGTTCTCGACAACATTGTTGTATTGAAGCGCTCGTTTTTCAAATCCGTGATTTACTCCGCGAGTCACTCTTTCCAGTGTGTTTCTAGCAACTACCCTTATCCTAGCAAGGCCTGCGTCATTTGCTACAGTTCTGACCGGTTATTTTAAAACTTCTCCGTCACCGACATCGGGAATCCATCCCGAAACTGAATCGTAGTTTTTGGGATACAGAACCGTTTTCAACATTGTGTCAAACTCTGTGGGGTGTTTTATGGTCTCTATCGGATTTGAACCAGCTTCCAAAACCATTTCGCTGAATAAAGACGGAAAGAAGTTGTTTTCTAAAGTCGTGTTGGTTTGTGGAATTCGATTCTGAGCGGCGTCTTTGATTTTAAAATCGCATCGGAAATGGGCATCGGAAAGCAGCAACCAATTGGACAACGAATTAATTTCAAAGGTAACTCTTCCTCCGTCGTTTATTTGGGTCTTTGTCCCTATCGATGGTGAGATGATTACGTAATCCTCTTTCTTCTTGTTGAACGAATATTGAATCGGATCATACAATTGAAAGATTGGATCCAATCTGTAATTTTTGCTTGCCATTTTTATCCAATGATTTTAAACCCTTTTCCTTGTTTTTCTAGGGCTTGTCGTTCTAGTCTCTTGTTTCTTAGTTCTCTTATTAGCTGCAGTTCTTTAAGTTCGTCAGATGTTTTCACTGCATCGCTTATATTTACTCCTGCTTTTGCCACAGAACCAAGAGCTTGCGCTTCTGAGGAAATGAGAGATTTGTTGTTTGAGACAAAATTGGCCACTTTGGGGATGAGAGATGTTAGCGCAGAGAAGAAACTGTCTCCTTCGAATTTTTTTTTTTCGTGTTTTAAAATTAAAGACATTTTTAATGCGGTTATTTTTTACTGTATTATTATAGTGATTCTTGTCTGTGCTTTGGGTAATTTATATGGAGTCTGTTATAATACAGTTTGGGGAGTCTGTTATAATACATTTTAGCAGTTTAGGGAGTCTGTTATAATACATTTTAGCAGTTGTGTCTTTTCGGATATGACGCATTGAAAAAGCTGCGCATGCGCAGGAGTGAAATGCGTCATATGCGAAAAGACATATACTACTAGTATTATTCATCATTAACTGTCTTTTAGCATCTTCAGCTTTCTCTATTTTCGTGGCACTGATGGAGTAGTACGTGCAATATAAGAACCATGACAATTATCTTCATAAAACAAATGATCATCTTGGCACATTTTAACTCCATCTTTTTCTCGTACTGCTTATCCATGTAGCGTATATTGTATGCATTGCAGGTCATTTTTTGTTGAACGTATTGACTTTCTCAATCCATTTTGCAGTTTTAAATTTACTTTCGCGACACTCTACTTTGCGTAATTCAATGAGAGTTTCATAATCATCTTTAATTTTCTTAGCAATGCTTCTCTCGGACATGGGATATACTTTCTTTTCTAATCTTGACTTATTTCATGAGCTACTATCTCTAATAATCATCTTTTGTCCCTTTTCTGGTACTTTTCATAATGACATCATTCTCCCCATAATGATGACACCAGATGGTAATTTAGCTTCTGTATTATAAAAATGTATCTCTTTATAACAAACATCACACAGTTCTTTGATGACATTGTCACTCCGTAGTTTGAGTTCACTGAGTTTATTCATAAATTGGCTGTAGAAATTGCACTGTGCTCACTAATCACAACTAAGAAGATAGCTTGCCAGGCAAGGTAACATACGCCCACTGGCAGCTGTCAGAAATGATATAACAGTCTTTAGTGACTAAAGTATGAATTTTCTCATATTAAAGAAATTTTAATAGTTTGAATTCATTGATATATATATTTACTGCCAGGTATTTATGCTGGGAAATACCACAAAATTTTTAAAAATCAATATCAATAATCCAAACACATCAAATTATCGCATCAATATACATGATCACACCAAATTTAATCAAAATCAGTTGAAAACTGTAGTCTCTCTTGTGTTCACACAAACAAATTTTGATGCGTGTTTCCTAAATCAAGGGCAATAACTCAAAAACTGTTCATTAAAAGATTGTCAAATTCGAAGTTGACCAAGATCATCAATATGAATGATCACACCAAATTTCATTAAAATCAGTTGAAAACTGTAGTTTCTATTGTTTTCACAAACAAATTTTGAAGCATGTTTCCTAAGTCAAGGGCAATAACTCAAATTACGTTCATCGAAAGATCGTCAAATTCGAACTTGACCAAAATCTCATCAATATATATGATCACACCAAATTTCATTAAAATCAGTTGAAAACTGTAGTCTCTAATGTGTTCACAAACAAATTTTGACGCGTTTTTTCTTAGTCAAGGCAATAACTAAAAAAAAGTTCGTCGAAAGATCGTAAAATTTGAACTTGACCAAGATCTCATCAATATGAATGATAACACCAAATTTCATTAAAATCAGTTGAAAACTGTAGTCTCTATTGTGTTCACAAACAAATTTTGACGCGTTTTTCCTAAGTCAAGGGCAATAACTCAAAAACAGTTGATCGAAAGATCATCAAATTCGATCTTGACCAAGGTCTCTTCAACATAAAGGATCACACCAAATTTCATTAAAATCAGTTGAAAAACTGTAGTCTCTATTGTGTTCACAAGAAATGTTGAAGGACCGACGGACAAACGGACCAACAGACGGACAGGGGTGATAGCAATATACGTTCACAATTCCATGTGGGCGTATTAAAATGGTGAAGTCTTTAAACAGTGACATCATAAAAAAACAATGACATAAGATAATAATGACATCATCATTACAATGACATCATCATTATAATGACAATAAACAATTTTATTCTAAATAACTACTTTATTA